AGAACGCTTGTGTCGAAGAGTTGGGAGAGTTGTTTTAAGAGCACCTTTCAGATTTTCCGAAGATATATGACTTTGCCATAGAGTTACCAATGAACACGGTGCATATATGCCAACCTTTCAACAGTTCTCAAACCGTTCTGCTTGATTACTCGGAAAGTTGACGGATTAATCTCGTGCGCTTCGTGTCCATTGGGTTCAGGATGGAGACACTGATTGTCGTCTGGTGCTCGGACACCCGTTCATGTAGCACCTCAACAGGGGGTGCACGCACTTTTGGGCATTTTAGTGCTTGTTATGGGTTTTACTTATCGGTGCGTCCAAAGAGGCAAACGTTGTTGTGATCGTAAAACGTTTGGATTGCTCAAAATACAACACTAAACGGACCTCAGCAACCAAGAGTGATATTTTCAACAAGGAACTTGAAATCCACATGATTGTCTAGGTTAGCAGCGAGGGCTTTCCTCTCAAAAGTTCGAAAGGAGGTGCTTGTACTGTGAAACAATCGATCCCGAGGAAGAAAAAACTACCGCATTTACTCACCCATCAGTACGTAGTTGTCCCGATGCATGCTCTGAGATGGAATAGAGAATTCACCGGAAGCCATTTGATGATCGACAATGAGTGTTGCTCTTCTGCCGCTCCTGTTGAAGAATTGCAAGGGGTCGAACAGATTCGTCGTTGATTGTACTACAAGACTAAACTGGGTCTAAGAGGGGGCAAACATGTCTCGAATAGTACAAAGTCGAGGTTGCTCTACCTACGTAATGACTCATTCAATTTACTAAATTCCCCTTTGTAACTTGATCTTCTGTTTGTGTGATTGGTTTTATACGTTAAAAGAAATGTTTGGCCCTCACGGACATTAGCTCAAAATAAAACTACAGGTCATAGGAGCTCTTGCTGCAAAATCGATCACCCAGAACCTGAGTTAAAAAGTTTTAGCTCCATATGTGCTCGAATAATGAAGAGATGGACCCCAGTATTATGCTAGTTTTGTTAGTTGTAGCTGTGCGTAGTCTGCAAGTAGCTCGGTAGTCAAGGAGCGAACTTATTGACCTCATGTTCTGTGGTTCGAACCCAAACCCGGCATCTGGCTGCTCGTCTTCATGATTGGGCAACCGTCGTGTTTCCTTCGGTTAGGATGGCAGCTATGCACCGATTGAGTGACACATCTGAACAATCAATATTATTACTTTGGTTAGCTGAGCACCCATTTTGAGACATTCAAGAAGCCGGCCCATGATCCGATGGAAGCGGAATCTGGGGAGAGTAAAGAGGATGATTGGCTTCACTGGGACTGTTTGGGTTGAATCCTATTTCCGTCATGTAGCCAATGGAACAGAATTGCGTATCCAAACGGACTAGTCCTGCTTTAGTCCTATGAACTGTTTGGCATGTGTCAAATCTGGGAAGCGTCTTTGAAAAATCCAGGTTTCCAAAAATGAAAATAAGACTGTTGGGATGCGTGGAATATCAGTCCTATCAGCGGATTTTTATGACTGTATTGAATTTATGAGCGGTTCGGTGCTCGAAGTGAATCAATTGACCACTAGGTTAAGAGAGCTTTTAAAACTAAAAGCCAATCACATATGACAGATAGATTCTCAGCGTTAGCACTTCGTTTGTTTGTAAGGCCCACTCCTCGCAACACCGACTGGTGGACGATTATTCCAAAAGAAATCAGAACATAAGGTTGACGGAAACTCGGGGACTGGGGCCTACCTGACAAGCCCCAAGAAGGACGAAACCGGCTGTGGGCTGTCGAAGAGTTTTGAGCAACCTTGTGAGTAGTTTCCTTTATGAGAATAAATCAGAAATTGTCAACCAAACACTAACCTATACAAAACTGAACTAGGTTAGGCGGAAGTAGACTTGTTATGCTAATTTATTCGTCATCGAAATATCTGGTCAGAATCGACAGAGAAACTATAATAATCCAAATCTGCTGATCGCTTTGGCAAGGACCCGACGTTTTTTCATAAGGTCCTAGAGATCGATGGATTTGAAGGTCACGACCTTGGGTATTTTATGGATCCGCGAGACAGCCAATGTGGGTTTAAGCTGAAACACAGTTTTATTCATTGCCCAATAGACCACATATTATCTAGATATGACAAAAAACTATGCTTCGCCCATGCTTATATCAGCCTTGCTTCCGCAGGTGATGTACCACTGACATTCGAATAAAGTAATAGCGCTCGTTAGGATTTCGAAACTGGCTAGTTTCTATGAGAAATTTATTCTAAGTTCTTCCTCATTCACACCAAGATGGTGGCTATCTCTTCCTCCTTACGGTGAAGACAAACGGAACGGGTTGACAATGTTCGGGGGGGAGGTCAAACTGTATAAAAAACTTACCTCACCACATTGACAGTATGACATTTCCCATCGTTCAGCTCCATTTTTGATTGTATCTGTAACAGACTTGTTGACGTGCGACCGGTGATGAGTGCTATTCTTCTGTCGGACGCAGCAGTTGTAATTTCGGAGACAATAAAGATTCCAAACTCCACACGACCTTTACGTAGCGCGATCATGGTCAGTTCCCTCTGGTCATACAGTTCTGAATGCGGATAGCCCGGCCTCTTTGTTTCCGGAAGAGTATCGCCAATCATCAGAATTAGTCCATCTTGACTGGCGGTTTGTAGTTGTAGTCGCATGTAGTAGTCGGTCCTGAATTCGGGATGGAAAGTATACTGATGAAGCTCACTAGCAAGTCGATCAGCTAACCTAATCGGAACCAGTACCCAAGGGAAATCAAATCATCAACTAGGACATGGAAGCGTTTTTGAGCTGCCAATAATGATAACAATTACTTGAAATTCGATCCCACTATTTTTGGACCTTTGGTTTTCGATCTACAGTGATCACCGAGTCCTATGGGTTACTTATGATAGGCGAATGACAGGAAGGTCCGTGGTTCGAACCCAACCTCTGCCTCTTGACCTCCCCTTTCTAGGCTTGGACGACCTGGCAGTATCCCAGCCATCGTGCCTCCTTCGTGTGACACGGCAGCTAGGCACCTGAAGGGTGCTACCGCTGAACGATTTTTAACAGGATGGGGTGTAATCCTAGTTTGGGCGTATGGGTGAAGCAATAACTTGTCACGGGCGCTATATTTCTTTTTCTATGCATCTAACAAGACTGTCTCCCTGCATATTCTTCTCAGGGGTACTGTTGTCGCGCATGTACGAATCCAAAGTCTCAAAACTTTGCGCTTACCTAACGAACGAACAATCGACTGAGTGATAAACTTTCACACATTATGGCACACTCAGTGGTGGCCTGAAATTAGACCGACAGGACAACCGTTCGTTTCTGTCAGATCTTCCTTCCCTATGCTTTGCACTACGGGCCGTTCCAGTTAAGTTCAATTTGAGTGCACCAGCCTCGTTTGTTTATCTCCGATTCACCCCCCATAGTTTACTTACGTGGAATAGATGAAGGCGGGAGTTAAGTTTATTCCGATATGTGCTCCTAAATGATGCCTTCATCACCACAGTCGTCAGCTATAAACCGTATACGAGTTGTGACTACTGGTCAGCTGATGCTGTTGGGCGAATCGGGTCTTTCATGACATGTTCTGATAGTTCAGCTTTTGGTGTATCAGGACTGGCCATCGGATGTCGATTTTATTTTATTTAGTCGTAGGTGGTTGCGGGTGTCGTAGAATGCGCATTGGGTATGAGCGCGCTATTAAGAAACTCTGATACACTGTTCCCCCCTCTTGTGTGAACTCACCAGAATGAGTATGCCAAGAGAGAAAAGGGATTGTCCAAGCGAATGATCTGCATGTGATCCCGCTACCACCTATGATTAATTGGAAAACCCTGAAGCAGGTTCTCAGCGTCCCAACAGACAGAAGGGCGAAACTAATCGTGGGCTGACGAAGAGTTTTCAGCAACCTTGTGAGTAGTTTCCTTTAGGAATGTAGACACTTACACAGACTTTAATAGGTTGAAGTACTTGAAGATTGTATTGCCCGAGAAACGGACTGCCAGCTGTGCACAATTCCTAGTTTCTGGTGTCGCCGCGAGCGCATCCTTTCTAAGCTTTGTATCTGTTCCAGGTGATTCAACGGTCTTTGGTAGGGCGTCATACTGAACGTCATCTTGTGACCACGGTTTCAGCGGCGTTTCGTCATGCGATTTTTGAGAATTTTCTCGCATTGCATCAATCTCAGCCTGTAACAGAATAGAAAAGCTCTGATATTTGGAGAAAACAGTGAGTGATTTGCCGGAATCAGATAGACAGCTTTTCACATCCTGACCATGGAAAATAAGTCGGCAGAGTGTTATGAAAAAAAATTCTCCTCTCAAAGTTGACACATAGAGCTGGTTCGGCTTCAGAGAGTGACCACTACAAACGGCTTTACTACGGGACGCTTGCTGATGCTGGAATTTTATTCTAACCTTATTGTGGCTCAGTATTCATGGTCGGTCACCTTTGGGTGGACTTGAAGCTACAGTTGTCTGAAACGCACTATGAGTCAAAGTAAACGAGGTGCCACCATGTCTTCAGCTTGCATTTCTTGTGAGGATTTCAATGTATGATCAGTCGTTCATCTCAGCTAACTTCTCCACTGAAGGTTCTCCACACACTCGTCAGGTAAGACAACCTGTGTTATCAAAGTGCGGGTCCTGAAAACCATTATGGTGTCTCCACAATCGATCGTTTTAAGTCAGGTTACCCTGCGTTTTCTGGCCGTGTTCCCTGACTGCACCTTGCCAATGGATTCCAAAGTGATACGGTGTCAAAGAAATACTGCATTAGCAACTGAGAAATCCCAGTCATCCCATCATGTGTGTAAATGTTCGAATTAAGGCCAAGAGGAGCCAATGCGTACTGAATACGTCATCTGCGTACAATCGTTGGTGAAGGACAAGTGTTGCAATTTTGGGGTTTTGCGGGATAGGTATTTCTGTTCATAGTCACACCACTCTCGTCCGAACGGTCGTATGTATTCCTGTTCTGGCGTAATTATTCCGGTGAGTCCACACCAAAGGGAAGCACTGGACTCGAGTTTCGCTCTTATTGGAGCTCATCAGCAGTGCACCGGAATAATTACGCCAGAACAGGAATACATACGACCGTTCGGACGAGAGTGGTGTGACTATGAACAGAAATACCTATCCCGCAAAACCCCAAAATTGCAACACTTGTCCTTCACCAACGATTGTACGCAGATGACGTATTCAGTACGCATTGGCTCCTCTTGGCCTTAATTCGAACATTTACACACATGATGGGATGACTGGGATTTCTCAGTTGCTAATGCAGTATTTCTTTGACACCGTATCACTTTGGAATCCATTGACAAGGTGCAGTCAGAGAACACGGCCAGAAAACGCAGGGTAACCTGACTTAAAACGATCGATTGTGGAGACACCATAATGGTTTTCAGGACCCGCACTTTGATAACACAAGCTATGAGCAATTTACAGTATATTATTGGATCAGTGCTCATGGCTTCTATTCTTGATAACACGGATTTTACTTCTGAAGTATCTATCAGATGCCTCGCTACTAAAAATAGGGCTGTTCAGCTGGGGAGAACGACGCAAAATTCAACCATATAACTGTTCAACTTTGCCGTGTCCTAGGTCCCGTAACCTAACTGCACGACTTCTGGGGGATGGCATGACTGCGAAAGTGTAACAGATGCATATTCAACTGATGGTGTGTGAACGTGCACTTGTTTGTTGTCTTGACTTGGACAGTTACCACACAATCCAGGTGAGTCACAGTATAAAGTTGAAACGAAATCATGAGGGGGAGTCATTCCAAGGTACTGGTCACCAGTTAACTTTGACCTGAAGATTTCGCCACACCAACCATCCAAGTTGGGAACCCCGAGATAAAACAGCAAAAAAATCGATGTAATCCGATGTTGTTTCATCTTCGGTTGTGAACCATTTTGCTTTTTTATTTTGGATTACGGATAGAAACGGATTGCTGCAACCAGACGATTCGGATGCTCGTACTGCTCTGTGAGTACAGATAGGACGTGCCTGATGTCCGCGTTTTCTTTGTTCCCAGTGTTTTCGATGTCACTTTTTCACCAGTCAATTAACGCACATCAGTGCAATTAGTTTTTGGTCCACTTGTAGCTGGAGGACCTGAGTGACTGAACTTTCTACCGAAAATTCGACGACTGGTGTCGGTCAAAAACAAACGTGGAATTTTCAAAGCCCGAAACAGTTGAACGATGAGATAAGTGACTAAGCCTGTAGTGGGGTACCGAGGTGGTAGCAAGCAGATGTTCGGTGAATTCGACCCCTCACCGTTCGAAAAGTGCATTTGTACAAATCGAGGCACACCAGGCATCATGTAGCATGCAAAAAGTGCTCACAGTATTTCCTCATGCCGCGCTCGAGATGAAAGGAAGAGGGCCTTCGCTGCGGAGTTATTTATTGGAAAACACCAACTGCACAGTTACTGACTATTGGACAGGAAAGTAAAGCTCTCATATGCATCTTGTTTATAAAAACCGAGTATCCGCCTTCTTCTCGAACGCGTCTTCCTGAATTGTCTTGACTATCACTCGAATGTCAACGAATGCTACAAAGTAATACCACAGATTCCATAAATCTCACTTTTCAACAGACGCGAAGCGGATTTACGGGAAAACCGCATGCTACTCGCAAGCCTCATCAGCAGTATCCACCATTACACCTATAGAATACAACGATCGCTTGTGCAACGTGGATTTCAATCAAGGAATATGTCCAGCGCCAAAACCCGCGGTGTTTTGTTCAATGCATTGCGCATGCTGAATCATCGTTTGCTGAAGAGAATGCAACATCCCGTACCCAATTCAGAGCGGCACAAGAAGAGATGTGGTCAAAATTTGCCACGGCATGAAGAAATGAAATCGATTGCGTAACGTCCGGCTACTGTTGGTACCTCCACTTTTGTGCCCTTCCTCACAATGCAGGTTTAAAACAAACGATGACTGTACGGCAGTGAGGTACCAGCGTTGAACACTGATTTTATGCTGTCGATGATGAATACGATGTTCTGCTGCTGTTCTGCAGTTGGCTAAAACCGCATCACATGCTGTATGCCTTCATTAATGCCCTGCGGCTTTGTTACAGAGAGCCTACTGAGAGGTTTTCGATTAGAACTTCAGTTTAGGTCCACAAAGTCAATGGTAATAGGCGTTTTTTCACAATCAGTATACTGCCACGGCTTGTCAAAAGGTCGCTGCATAGAAGTTGGAGCAGCTACTGAAGAGCTCTATCATGGCCGAATCCAGACAGACAGCTGATACACCTAAGTAGGTGGTCAGTCTGTCAGACCCTTAGTTGGATTTCACTGCAACCCATATTACTTAACCTTTGGAAGTAGTCATCCATGAGATGGTCCCTCAAGAGATGGAAACTGTACAGAAACAATCCGAATAAATGTTCATTAATTACTAATTTGTATTTGGCAAGAGAGTTAACTCTTTAGTATGTGTCTTTTACGAAAAATTTTGATTTCTGAAGTGAATAGCTTCATCGAACAGCCGTAACGCGAGAATATCACTCCGGCAAACGACAAATGCTGCTTGTTAAGGATACCCTCAAAAAACATGATTATGTTTACCTGTTTTTGTTGACACGCAAGGTTCTCTGCCCATTTGGCGTCATTCGTTCCATGTTCCCGCATAAATCGAATCAGCTGCGATTGCGTGGAACAGGCACACGACGCTGTCGTTCCAAGAGGTCTACACACCGATTGTAGTTCCCCGATGCGACAGGGGCTGTATGCTGGTCCACAAGGGGGACCTTGCCATTGAGACACATTCAGCCAGTACTCAGAGTCGTCGGACAAAGAATTCTGTGTTACTTCCATGTTCGGAGAAGGAGGACCAACCAGGAATATATCCGCCCCATTGATGTTCATCTGTTACATTGAAGGAAAAATCCAAGATGGTAGTCAATCTTTTGAAATATTCCTCTTCTTATTTTCGTACAGGAGACTACTCATGAAGTTGCTGAAAACTCTTCGACAGCCCACGACCGGTTTCGCCCTTCTTGGGGCTCATCAGGTAGGGGCAGTCCCCGAGTTTCCGTCAACCTTATGTTCTACTTGAACCATAAACGAGAGATTCGGTTGAGTCTCTCATTAAATCCAAATTCATTTGCAAATGGATGTTCTTCTGTTTAGTTAAACAACACTTTCGATCGAATTGTTCTTACCAATCACCAACTGTCAGTTATAGTCGCTATTTTGCTTGCGATCTCTCTGAAAGATTGATAGAAAGAACCCGTGGTTATTCCCAAGAACAGAATCTCACCTGCTGAATGGCACCAACCAGTCCCGTTCGAATATCCATAGGAGGAATTGGGCTGTTGTGAAAATCGTAACCTCCCAGGTAGATGGGACTTGAACTGAGGTCAAAACTTGGTAGCTAGATGAATAAAGATGAAAGATGAGGGCAGAAACAATGTTTTCCCAGGTATCTATTCCGTACTGACAGCATTCTATCTGAATGACCCGAAATATTGTGAGTTTTCACACCTTTGCGCGATCGGTAAGGTGTACCTATCCTTGATAGTATGCTGTCCGCTACAAATTAAGTAGCGAGTTGCAACTTGAGATTTTCACATGAAAGATTTTGATTTATGCCCGCGGAGTGCATGTGATGTTCCGAAACCTTCTGAACATTTTGCAGTCACTAAAGTTCTTTCATATATTTGTAATTTACTACTCACAAGGGTTCTGAAAATCCGTCGACAGCCCACGACCGGTTTCGTCCTTCCACTTCGGGCTCATCAGGTAGGCGCAGTCCCCGGGTTTCCGTCAACCTTATGTTCTACTTGAAACT